GAGAGAAAGAAAGAAAGAATGAAAGAAAAAGGGAGAGAAAGAGAGGAGCCAGTAGGAGTGATAACTAGCGAGCAAATACAAGACGAATCTAACCAGTCCATAAGACAACAACGAGATAACAATAACAGGATAAACAACGACAATGCACAAGATGAATGCTGAGTGATATATATATCGTCACACAGAACTGCCCGGTAAACCGTCGGCAGAGAGGGAGAAGAGGACAACAACAGAGGGGCTGTGACAAACTGTTTCTTTGGAATTTAACCAACTCATATATACATCATCAAACAGAACTGTCCAGTAAACCGTAGGCAGAGATGCAGAAGAGGACAACATATATCGTCAAATATATATATCGTCAAATAGAACTGCCCGGTAAACCGTAGGCAAAGAGGGAGAAGAGGACAACAAACGAGGGGCTGTGACAAACTGTTTCGTCGGAGTTTATATATATTGTCACAAAATTTCAGAGCGCAAATGCGAAAAAAAAGGAAGAAAAAAAGGAAGAAAAAAAGGAAGAAAAAAAGGAAGAAAAACAGGAAAAAATGAAGTCAGTTTTTTATCTTCTTCCTTATAACTCCCCCTGTTCAGAACCTCTTGCGTGTAGGTTGAGCGGCGGCTGCCCCCCACCCCCGTGTGTATATGTATATATATTGTCACATTGTGAATATAGATATATGTATATATATTGTCACATGATATCAGAGCGCCAAAGCGAAAAACAGAAACAAGAAAAACCTAATTCATTTTTAATCATCTTCCTTACAACTCCCCCTGTTCAGAACCTCTTGCGTTCAAGGCCGCCCACGTGGATGTAGGTTGAGCGGCAGCTGCTCCCACCCCTGTGTGTCATATCGACCCACTTGCACACAGCCAAAAGGCAAAGAGGCAAAGAAGAGAGGAAGGGAACAGCCAAATAAAACAGAACAGGGGGCAACAAAACAGATCCCAGATGACAAGTCCAACATGCAAGCACCGCCCTCGCCCACAGGCCAAACGACGGGACAAGACCAACCAGGATGTCAAAACATTCTTGTCTGCAAAGAAATCAAAAAAAGGACCAAAAATAACCCATCCCGGATGACGATTCCCACATACAAGCACCGCCCCGCGCTCAAAAGGCCGAACAACGGGAAACAACCAACCAGGATGCCAAGACAATAAAAAAAAAAGGGATGACTGGTCCCACATGAAGCACCACTACCTGCTGCAAAATAGACCGAATAACGGGACAAAACCAACCGGGATGCAGACAAGATTACCACAACAAAACAAAATACCCCAACAACGGGGAAAATTACAAAAAAAATGGGATGTGTCATTTAGTTTGTTTGACTAATACGCCTTCCTTCCCATGTTCTTGCTCTAATGTTTTCTTAAATACCACAACAAATCTACCATATCCATAGTCTAAAAACGGAACCATACAGTAGGCCCGCAAAACGAAATACCCCAGCAACAGGGAAAAAGTAAAGGAAAAGAAACAAGAAAAGGAGGAATGACAAGAAAGAATGTAAAAATTATTTTCTACCACAACAAAAGCAAAGCCTGCTAGTACAGGCCCGACGCTCGCCGCATCATCTGCAAAAGCAGAGAGCTAGCAACGTCGGAGTATATATTGTCACATGATATCAGAGCGCCAAAGCGAAAAACCGAAACAAGAAAAACTTAATTCATTTTTAATCTTCTTCCTTACAACTCCCCCTGTTCAGAACCTCATATCATCAAACAGAGCTGCCCGGTAAACCCTAGGCATAGAGGGAGAAGTGGACAACAAACGGGGAGTGTATATATATAGTCGAAAGCAAAGCCTGCTAGTACAGGCCCGACGCTCGCCGCATCATCTGCAAAAGCAGAGAGCTAGCAACGTCGGAGTATATATTGTCACATGATATCAGAGCGCCAAAGCGAAAAACCGAAACAAGAAAAACTTAATTCATTTTTAATCTTCTTCCTTACAACTCCCCCTGTTCAGAACCTTGCGCATATATCATCAAACAGAGCTGCCCGGTAAACCCTAGGCAGAGAGGGAGAAGTGGACAACAAACGGGCCGTGTATATATATAGTCGAACAGAGCTGCCCGGTAAACTGTAGGAGGAGAGGGAGAAGAGGACAACAAATGAGGGGCTGTGTATATATATAGTCCAACAGAGCTGCCCAGTAAACCATAGGCAGAGAGGGAGAAGAGGACAACAAACAAACTGTTTCGTCGGAGTTTCATCAACTCATCAGGAGGCTGAACCCTCAACAGTCTGCAGAATCCCCTACCTAGCTGATTACACTGTAAGTGATAATCCACCTTAACCTCGGTTGTGGGCAAGCATCAACGACTGCCCGACAACTGATACCCTGAGGTGGGACCCAGCCACTGCCCTCAAGGTACCTGTGACGAAAATCAAAGCAGACTATCACTCACCCACACCAAATGGAAAACTCTACACACTGTCGGTTCACACCCTATCACAAGCAAGCAAAACACCCACGAAACAAAGAAAGGTTTGTCACAGCCAAAAAATACACTCCACACACGCCGCTGGCACTAGAGGCACAGCAAGGCCACGTAGTGACAGCCCCGACCACTGCCGCTTGACCTGACCGGAGGAAACTGTAGCAGGGTGCTAGCGAAGTCGTGGCATATATAGTCAAACAGAGTTGCCCGGTATATGTATATATCCCTCTCTGCCTACAGTCTACCCGCCAGGTCTGTTTGACGATATATACAGACGATTGTCACACTGAATCAGAGCGCAAAGGCCAAAAAATGCAAAACAAGGAAAGGAAAGGAAAAGAAGGTTACGTACAAGGCCAGCCACGTGGATGACAGGTTGAGCGCTGGCTGACCCCATCCACTTGTGGGAAAGAGGTAAAGAAAAGGAGGAGGAAACCAGACCTCACAGAGGCAAGAGAAAGAGAAAGGTCAAAGAAAAGACAAAGGAAGAAAGCAAGTGACACATCCCGCAGATAAACCAATTGCCACTGTCACCCGGTAAACCATAGACAGAGAGGTAGAAGAGGACAACAAACGAGGGGCCACAACAAACTGTTTCGTTGGAGTTTCACCGACTTATTAGGAGGTGAGTCGGTGAAACTCCGACGAAACAGTTTGTCACAGCCCCTCATTTGCTGTCCTCTTCTCCCTCTCTGCCTATATATATCGTCAAACAGAGCTTCCCGGTAAACCGTAGGCAGAGAGGGAGAAGAGGACAACAAACAAGGGTCTGTGACAAACTGTTTCGTCGGAGTTTCAACAACTCATCAGGAGGCTGAACCCTCAACAGACTGCAGAATCCCCTAACTTGTTACACTGTAAGTGATAATCCACCTTAACCCAGGTTGTATATCGTCAAACAGAGCTGCCCGGTAAACCGCAGGCAGAAAGGGGGAAGAGGACAACAAACGACGGGCTGTGACAAACTGTTTCGTCGGCACTTCACCGATTCATCACGATATCGTCAAACAGAACTGCCCGGTAAACTGTCGGCAGAGAGAAGAGGACAACAACAACGAGATAACAGCGACAGGACAAAAAACAGACTGAGTGATACATATATCGTCAAACAGAACTGCCCCGTTGGTAGAGAGGGAGAAGAGGACAACAACCAAGGGGCTGTGACAAGCTGTTTCGGGGGAGTTTCACCAACTCCAACTCATATATCTATCATATATCGTCAAACAGAACTGCCTGGTAAACTGTCGGCAGAGAGGGAGAAGAGGACAACCAACAAGGGGCTGTGACAATACGATATATCTATCGTCAAACAAAGCTTCCCGGAACAGTTTGTCACAGCCCCTCGTTTGTTGTCCTCTCTCCCTCTCTGCCTACGGTTTACTGGGCAGCTCTTTTTGACGATATAGAGCTGCCTGGTAAACCTTAGGCAGAGAGGGAGAAGAGGACAACCACCGAGGGGCTGTGACAAACTGTTTCGTCGGAAATATATATATATATATATATC